TATCACTTTTTCTTTCACTTTTTGCACTTTCATCCACCCTACTCCCTGATATTTGGAAAGGAACACTAAGCAATAACTTGTTTCTCAATCACCACTGCTTACAACAGCGAGCTTTCTGCCACGTGCACAAACTGCACATACCAAAAACCAATTCTACCAGAACAGCCCATTTAACACAATGATGAGGTATTTTGATGCCTAAGAAGGGGTCCCCCCTTGAACAAAAGCACCAAGTGTAACTTTCCCGAGTTCAAAGCTCAGCAGTTCCTCTCCCTTAAGAACCCCACTCCCTACTGATGTGAATGTTGCAATTTTCTTTCATCTACTTCCTCAATAACCTGCCATTAAACACCTACTAGTAGTTTTATTACCTCAGTTCTGAGCTTGCGGCCTACAGAGAGAGAAAGAGCACAGATGTACTACAAAAACTTCACCCAAATGCCATAAAGCCATATCCCAAGGCTAGTGAGTGCTGAATTGTAACAGTTTTGAGGCACTTTAAAGGATGGCAGAGGCAGAGTGTCAGTTTTTCATTACTGGTTCAAATTGGGGGGGAAGGAAAAAACAGGAAATAAATAGATGCAATAAAGTCTCTGGCATGTAGGCATCCATGAGTGAAAACAGCCCTTTATAAAACTACAACACATGAGTACTCAGATATCAAAGATACACAATGCCCAGTGTTTTATTGAAGATGCCTTCTTACCCACAGCAGGGTTTACTTTCCACTCCCCATGATTTGAATTTAAATGGATCATGTTTACTCAAGGGGTCTTTCACTGACTGAAAAATATACCCACAGTTTGTACATTATCTCAGCTAAATTCAAATAACATATTTAAATTTAATTACTTGAAGCTTAGGGGTTTTCATGCTTTTCTTTATTCCCTCAATTGCACACAACACTTATTTGTTCTTATCAATGGCTATGCGCTTTGTCAAGCATCAAAATTAAATGCTTGAAAGCACTAATGATGTTACTGTGATTAAGGGTTTTTACCTTCCAGGGTAGATACTAAAAGCCTGCTCCATTATTAATTACTTAAAAAAAAAAAGAAAAAAGAAAACAAGATTTCTGAGAATCTAACACTGAAGAAAAGTCTTCTTAGAAATCAAAACAAGACAATAAAAAATCTTCCATTAAAAGATTTTCTCTTGATTAGGACACAACATATATAAGGGAACCTGGCACTTTTCAGGTTTTCTATTTGAATATTTACCTTGTAACATTGTGGGGGTTTACATGTGATTTTCTTGAATTATATTAGCAAATAATCTCACAGCAGGAAAAGCACATGCAACACAGAGAATCAAATATGGCTTAAATAATTTCTAAAGCCAACATTCTTTAGGCCACATTCTGATAATTTTATTCATGTAAGGGAGCAACCTAATCTACGAGCGGTCGCACTGAGTTGAAATGAAGGGAAGGGAGAAGTATCCAGCCCTGTTTAGTTACATGTACCAGAATAAATTAAAAAGAAGGCAGCTCCCTTTCACAGAATCACAGAATTTTTAGGGTTGGAAGGCATCCCTGGAGATACTCTAGTCCAATTCCCCTGCCAAGGCAGGGTCACCTGGAGCAGGTGACACAGGAACATATCAGGTGGGTTCGGAATGTCTCCAGAGAGGGAGACTCCACGACCTCCCTGGGCAGCCTGTCCCAGTGATCTGCCACCCTCAGTGTGAAGAAGCTCTTCCTCATGTTGCGGTGAAACGTCTTGTGTTTTAGTTTATGGCCAGTGCTCCTCATCCTGTCGCTGGGCACCACTGAAAAGAGTCTGGCACCATCCTCTTGACACTCCTGTGAGGTATTTCTATGTATTGATAAGATCCCCTCTCGGTCTTCTCTTCTCGAGACTAAACAGGCCCAGTTCCCACAGCCTGTCCTCATAAGAGAGATGCCCCAGACCCCTTATCATCTTTGTAGCCTCCACTGGACCATCTCCAGTAGCTCCTTATCTTTCCTGTACTGAGGAGCCCAGAACTGGCCACAGCACTCCAGATGTGGCCTCATTAGGGCCGAGCAGAGGGGCAGGATCGCCTCTCTCGACCTGCTGGCCACACTCTTCCCGATGCACCCCAGGATACCATTGGCCCTCCTGGCAGCAAGGGCACACTGCCGGCTCATAGTCAGCTCGTCATCCACCAAGACTCCCAGGTCCTTCTCTACAGAGAAGGATTTCCTAAAGTTCTGCTTCCTATTGTCCCTTGGGCCTTTTATCCACTCCTCTCTCCTGTCCAGTCAGAAGTGCTCCAGTTTCTGAGGAACACCAACCCTCTGCTCCAAGTATTCCTGGCAAATGGCTTTGCAAACAAAGGAGAATGCACTTTAGCAAGACCACATTTCCAAACATATGCAAAGCATATGCATAAGCCATGCATGTACATCAGGATAAGCAAATGAAAGCCTTCTGCACATGTGAACCGATGAGCACACACAGATTAGATGTCTGCACGTCTGAAGAACAGAGCCAGTTTGGCATTCCTGTTCCTCACTGCCAGTACGACAGCTACGCCTTTCTCTGAGGGACCTGCCAGAGTCTGCGGGCTGGATGTGCACTTTAAAAATTAACCACATGCATATTTAGGGTTTTTTCATTATTCCCTCTGTATAAGTGGAGCAAACATTTGTACTAGTGATGATTGGGCCAGGTTAGGACTTGGACAAGGATCTAGAGGCCTGATTACTCAACCAAGCCACTGGAAGCCTCCCAAGACATTCCCGAGTCCTCTGTCTTCCCACCGTCTGCCTCTCCCTCCCCCAGGAATGACGACTGGCGATGAACACCTCCCAGCTTGGAAACTGAGACACGCCAAGATTCAGGCCAGCACTTTCAAGCTTTAGCATTTTAAAGCAAAGACTTTAAATCTACGCCACTGGAGTAAAGCGCCCAAGGTTATCCACCCACATGTGAAAATCCTGCTGAGAAGCAGCCTGACAGCTGAGCTTGGCCTCTTTCTCTCAATCCCTTCAACCAGCCGTAAGGCTGTTGAACTAAACTTTCCCTCCTTGTTACTAGAAATTACACTGCTCAGGAAAAGCACCAGCTTGGCCACAGGATACTCTCAGAGGACACATTCATCCAAAATGACAGGCACAAGGGATCTTCCCTTTCTTTCCAGGCTCTGCAACCCAGTCACAAAGACCTCTGAGAAAAACAAGTAACAAGCTCTCAAACCTAGGGACCAGCTCACATCAGTTATGTTTGTAATGATGTGTTCATAAAGAAAGGGGCTAGAAAATAAGATTTGGAAGACTGTTAACACAGTATTATTATCTTTAAAATGTTTCCTCTGTTTTAAAGTTTTCATTTCTTGCCTCTCCCAAAAGAACCTGTGCTGCAAATCTTGCCAAACCACAAAAGCTGGCTCTGACTTGCATCAAATCAAAAGCTCGAAGGAAAACCCAGGCTCTTAGCAGCAACAAATAGTAGTAGTTGAGGATTATTAAAGTGATGTGTTTTTACCACCCCACTCCAGCTTCATTTCTTGGCGACATGCAGTGGCTGCTGAGACTCTACAAAGAGCCTGTGTATTTTCTGGGCTGCACATCCAGTTCTGTGTCAGTTTTAGCACAGACTCCTTCAGCACAGCAGAGCTGCTCCAATTGAGATCAAAACTATTATAGGAACTGTGACCACAGCTCCCTGTGGTTTACTTCAGAAACAAAGGGATGGTGAAGAAGATTTTGCATGCCCAGGAGATGGCTTGTTCTGGCTATTAAAGAGGGCCAGCTCTTGACAGCAATATATTATTTTCAGGTACTGGCCTTCCAATTTTGAAGACCAAAAATTGATGTCAGCTTATGCAGTGCAGGTCTGGAATAACTCCAAAGATCTAAATCTGCAATCTACAATCCCAAAGATTGCCTTAAACCAAAAGATTATAGAATCTACATAGCATTTACCAAGAGATCTGTATTACAACTCAAGCATGGGGTCTGTTTAGTCTAAAAACTGCTTGTTTTCTTTCTGCTAGCTTGCTAAGAAATCCTGTTGGCATGTTCTGACAAGGATAACTTAATAGTTGCCAACAGAAACATGGCAGAATACCGTGTATTTCCTGTATGTATGAATGCCAGTTTAAAACAAACAGGAAAACAAGCCTTTCAGTTGGAAGGCAATTTATAAGAATCCGTCTGAACATTACAACCAATTAAAAAAAATGCAGCACTGAAACGTTTCTAAATGCTTAAACTAGAATGATTAATGCAGAAGGGTGAATATACTTAGTGCTGTGAGTTGCTCTAGAAACTCTAGAGCTACAAGTAATTTTTTGAGACGGGGAATTAGTCAGCAGCTGTCTGACCTGAGCAGGTTTGGAGCCGCTGGTCACAAAGCAGGTCATGTTGCAGTTACTCCTCGCTCGAGTTGAGGTTGGAATCTG